GAAGACATTGAGTGACTTTTGGGCTTCCCCTCAAGAGGGAGACTTGATCGGAGGCTGCCATATCTGCATCGGATTGCTGCAAGTTGCTACTTTGGTCTTCAGGCATTGACGGGGGATCCGGCTTTGCATCAAGGGTGTAGGGAGGCCCTCTTAGTTATGCTAGGACACTTCGTGTAGTGGTAGCTAGGGGTCAGGAGGACTCATGAGAGAGGGGGGTGACTCGTTGATCATCTTTGGAGGCCGGGCGTCACAGGTAAGTGCCGTGTGACTTGGGTTTGCCCACGGGTGGTTGCTTGGTTCTGCATGGCCTGTTGGGGTTCTATCTGGGCTCTTTTCCTCTTCTCTGCAGTCTTGGTTGTGTGTGTGAGCATGTGGATTGCTCCCTCACCTGATGGATGGATGGATGATGTATCTTGTTCTATATGAATTATCTTTCTACAGTGCATTGTCTTTCACTTCTGAACGGTAGTAGGGGTAAGTCTTTGTTGAAAGTTGTCTTTTCCTGTTCAGCACAGTAGAGACAGTTTGGACCTGACTTGGTACCCCTGTCTCGTTAGGTTTGGTCCACGACCTACTTGGAACCTTGATTGGGACCAGTGGGACCAGGCCCAACGGGACAGGACCTTTGGGCCCAAATCTGTTGCCGCTAGTGCTTCTTCTTTGATGTGCTGAACTTGGAGGGGGCATACGGACAGCTAGGGCGTTCCTTTCAAGGGGATCTTGACTGGTCCTACTGCATGTGATCACTTACCGCCCCGCGTCTGACTCGGCGACCGTCTGCACCCCTCGAAATCTCCATTGCTGTAGTCAGTTTTCTTCGGTTGATTCATTGCATTGCAGTCCCCTGTCAGGTTAGACAAGAGGGGATCTCCAGCTAACCTGATTGGGCCCATTCTATGAATCAGTCCTCTCTTTTATTTTTTATTTTTATTATTATTGATTTAATCTTCTGCTGCGTGCCATTCTCAGTCTAAATGAATTGCCGCCCCGGCTAGGGGTTCTACCTTCTACTCTGTGAGTTCTTTGTTGTTTCTTTGCCTGATCTATCTATGTCCAGCATCGAGACGCGTGCGCAGAAAGCAGCGAGAGAGAAAAGGGAGAGAGAAGGTGTTTTGTTTGAGAGTGTGAGGAAGGGCAAGAGGAGTGTTCGTCCAAACGTAAGGAGAGAGCAGACCCCTCTTGAGAGATCTACTGACATCCCTTCCTCCAGCATGGCGGAAATCACATCTGCCCAATGGCGGGCCATGCTGGACGCGGCAAGCGAGTTTGAGAAACCGTTCTTTCAGAAACTTTATGATGATGCGGTACTGAGGGAAGGGGAGGTAGAGGCAGCAGCTAAGGCCGCCAGCATTGCTGCGCAAGAGGCCCTCCTGCAGGTTCCGGAAGCTAATGCTGACCGGTTCGAGGAGAAGCTAGCTGCTGCCGTTGCAGCCCTGGTCCGTCTGCGGGAATTGGAAGACTTTGAATCTCGTGTGACAGCACTAGAGCAGCAGAACCGAGAGCTGCAGGCTGAGGTACTCAGCCTTAGACAGTCCCAACTGTCTGCCCCCCGCCCTCCTAACCCTCGACTTGCTGCAGTCCCGGTYCCTCAAACTAACACAGCCCTAGTGGCAAGTGCAAGTGGAACTRTGGCAAGCGCAGGAACCGGTGCCAACTCTTCAAGCGGCAGCGCCGACAGCTCTGCACTCGTCATAGTCCCAGGTGCAGGCCCTTCAGCCCAGAATGCCCCAGTTCATACTGGCATTCCATACAGCAGTCCCATGGTGGACAAGAGGGCGGCCACTTTGCCGTCCAAGTACGATGGGAAGGCGGATATTACATCCTGGATTAGTTCCATGAGATCATACTTCGAGGTCATGYGGACACCGCAGGAGGACCGAAGTATGATCATGGGCACTAATACTGAACCCGTCGTACGGAATCATATTGAACTACAAGCTGTTGCAGCAGGCTACGAGAGGATAGACCTGACTAGCTGGCTGAAGGTGACCCCTGTACGCACTCTTGAAGATCTCCTCCTTGAACGATATCAGGATAAGCATGCGGCGCTCAAGGCTAGGCTAAAGCTTGAGACCCTCAAGGGCCAAAC